TGAAGGATATCAAAAGTCCAACTAATTTTTTCATTGTTTTTTTTTAAATATTTATTTTGTTTAGATAATAAAATACAAATTCTAATAAATTTTAAAATCCGGGTTGGACAAACCATGCAGTCGATATCCAATTTGGTTTTCAAAAGATTGGTATTTATAAACCCCATTTTGATTTAAAAAATCTGGTTTGACCGGTTGGATAGCCGCCATCGAATGCTATTTTCACTCGATGGTAAATATTCGCATTACGTCGTAACTTTTTATTTTATTTTTATTGATTCAATAAAATTGTAATTCTACAGCCACTGTCCTTGCCAATCGGCCTCTGGATTAGTCATGAAGAAGTCGAGAGAAACTGAAAGAAGAGCAATTTTTTGTGTGTGAAAAATCAAAAAACTAATTAATTATATACTCACGTAATTATGCAATTATAGCATATGAAGCTAAAATAGTTAAGCAAATCTATAAAAAAAAAAAAATCGGTAGATATTCCTTATACATTATTTGAGAAGTGATTTTCTCAAATTTGCTCGTTTGTCACCACAAAAGTCACTCTCACAAATTTTATTATGATATGGCTTCAAAAAATATGACATGGCAAAAATGAATCCAAACAACATCTTTTACCAAATTTTCTTTAACTATGTTTACATTTCTTTCCATAAATAAATCCAAAGAAATTTTAAATAATATTTTATACTAATATTTATGTCTTTCAATAAGAAAATGTTTTAAAATTATTTTTTGTCACAATAAAGTTTTAGAACACTTTTTCATATAAATATATTTTTTACTGAATTTATAATAAAGAATTAACAAGTTTTTTTAAAAAAAATTTATTATGTTTTGTGATAAAAATTTTCAAATTTATAAAAACAAATATATGTATTCTTAAAAAAAAATTCTACAATTTGAAAATAACAAAATCATTTAAGATAAATTGTACATAAATTTTTCTATCTTTATATTAAATATAATTTTAATATGCTAATATTCAAATTTTATATTTTAAGAAAATCAGTTTAATATTGTCATATTATATTAATATATTTGATTTTTAGTAAAAAAATACTATAAAAAATTAAATATGAAATAAAAAAAACAGACCATAGAAAATAGTTCAATGAATGTAATTGGTCTCTAAATCGTTTTTCTTTAACCAAATATGAAAAAGTGTAAGAGACGTTAACCGTAATAAAAATAGAAAACAAAAAAAATTTGGAAAACAAAAAAAAGATAAAAACGTAGTGTGCTTGGTTTATGTTGTATGAAAAAATTATTAATTTTTCTTTGTTTACGAAAAATTGCTCACGTTAATCTTTTCATATTTTGTTGTCGAATTCAGTTTTTGTTCAAAATTTAATGTGAAGAAAATGATATTTTTAAAAAAAGATGATCAAATAGGCGATTCAATCTTTAATTAGAGGAATCTCAACTTTTGATAATAGATTGTGCACTCCAATGTATTAAATTATTATATATATTTTTTTAAACGCTTTTGATTTTATTAGAAAGGCAAGTTCCAGACAACGTAGGAGGAGAATCCCTCCATTACAAGAGAAATAAAACAAAGAGATGCCAGTAGGCACCATAAATAACTGAAAAACAGAGTATTCTCCATTACACAGCTTCAGACGCAAAGAGATGATTCAGTCAATGCAGCCTATCCCGAGCGATATAAGATTGATGACGACCATCCGTAATTACGCTCCTTGCTACTCTTTGAGCAATTTGATCGCATGATTCAGGAGTGTGAGAGAAATTCCAGCTCTCAAAGGAAATGAGAGTATAAAAGATTTGGTTCAATAAGCTCCGGTACATCGGAAATGTGAAAGGACGGAGCAAAGCTTCTCGTGTTTGAGTGAAATGCGATTCGAAAATTATTATATATTTTATTTAATACGTTTACATATATAAAATAGGGGAATAATGAAATGGTAAAACTAAACTTTCAAAAATTTATATTGTTAACAAAAAAAAATTACACGTGTGTTTGTGATCTCTTGTCTCTTCTTCAACTTGTCTTAAATGTAATTCTAATGATCATCATAGATTCATAATTTA